CTTTGATAACATTCTTATCGAAAGGCAATCTACTTGCATCAGAACATTAAGGAGTCATAGGTACAATGCTATGAGATATATGTGGAGACGAAGGGATATTAAAAAGCCCGGATGCGCATGCACACACACACACACACACACGCACACACGCACACACGCACGCACACACACCCCGCCCAAACACACAGTGCTGTGTAGTCTGTGAACTGTGTCCTCCTCTCACTTGGTAATAACTGTACCTCTGCAGTCTGTATACACTAACATTAGGACACAATATAAAAGGTGTTTTGAATGGAATCATCCAAATTCATGATGTATATTTGCAATGTACCAAATTTAATCAAAAACTATTAAGTTAGGTATACAGATATTATAAGGGTAAAAACCTGACTGTAGAGTCAGGTATAATCAATTTCTCTCAACTACACTGTTGATAAACATATTACTACCTTTTCCTTATTTTAACAGTAACAATGAAAAGGAATCACTACACAAGTATCCTTTGCAAACTTAATTGATTTGGCTCCTGCGTTTGGACAAAAAGTTTATAGAGGGCAAAGAATATTACTGCATTATCCAAATCAAGAGGTCGGAGTGAGAAATAGCTTAAGAAACTTCCCAATTCTATTCAGATGTGAGAGATAACTGTACATTTGAAACAAAAGCTTTAAAATAAAGTCTCGAATCTTTCCTACCTGGAACAGCTGCTCAGCAAAGTCTTCAGGGCAGATTCAGAGAATCCAGAGCACCCAGAAAGGTTTAGTCGCACTAAATTTGAGTTCTGTGCAAGATCACTGGAAAAGGAGAAAAAAGTCAGCAGAATACCACTAAGACACTCTTATTCGATCAACAAGCATTCTGAGGATAGCAGGCTAGCGAAGTAGTTAAGCAGATAGGCCTTCAAGTCAGAAGTGAGTTTAAACTCACGTCTTACTATCTGTACGAACCTAGCTGGATGCTCTGCCTTAGTTTACTCATCTGTGAAATGGTAATATCAGTACCTTATTTTGTAGACTTGTTAAAATTAAATGTTATAATTTAAAAAAGGGCTTAGCATAGTGCCTGGCATGAAGTACACAAGAAACATTTACCAATGTCCTTTTTAAATTTTAAAAAAAGCAATGCAATACACATATTTCCATTTTACCTATAAATAGAATTAACTTGTAAGCAAGCTTCTACTTATAAAGTTATTACCAGGTTCTTTCAATTAATGTCTCTCAAATTTGCCTTCTCTACATTCCCAAATGTCTTGTGTTATTGAAACTTAGTGATTAAGAGCAAAAGTTCTGGAATTACACAATATTGTCAAGTTCAAATCTTGGTTCTGCCACCTAGTAAATGTGTGACCTTGGACATGTTATTCAGCCTGTGCCTCAGTTTCCATCTGTAAAAAGGGAACAATAAGAACATATTTCATGGGGTTGTGAGAATTACATGGGAATACCTTTAAGGAATTTCATAATCTGGCACAAAGGAAGTACTCAATAAATGTTAGTTGCTATTATTATTCTATTTTTCTCATCTGGTTTCATCATTTCTCACCCGAATGAACACAATGTCCTAATATAGTTTCCTCTATGTCCGATTGACCTTCCAAGGTGCCAAGTGAGTTAATTTTCTAAATTTCGACTCTGCCATGTTCCTTCCATTCTCAGAACCACTGCCTTCACTCCACGCTTCCTACAGCGCAGTCCGGACATCTCATAGTATGGCAGGGGCCCCTTATGACCAGGTCCTTGACTGTCCTCATCTCTTATCACTGCCCTCACTGAACCCTAGGCTCCAGCAATTCCCCACTACTCACAAGTTTAGAACCACACAGGCAGCTGTACCTAGACTGTTTGCTTTGCCCTATCGCGTGGAGATCTAACCAGCATTGCTTTAATACTTAGCTTAAGAGTCACCTCCTCTGAGAAGGTGGCCCTCCCTAAATTTCATTAGGTCTCTGCATGTTGCCACATATTCGCCAACATATTTAACAAACACGCTGCACTGTAATTATCTGTCTCTCCCATGAATGAGGCAGGGCCATGCCTCTATTCATTCTTGCATCTCTAGAACCAAGCACAAGGCCTGGCACACGGTTAGCAGGTATACTTTGGTTGCCTAGATGAATCCTGAAAAGTCTGCAGAAGCTGAAACACCACACTGGATATTTTCTGAGTCCCTCTGGATAGGGACAGAAAGGCACCCCAGTTACACTCAGGGAACAAAACTAACACGTAAAAACAACTGCCTTTGTGACATGCCCCTGGCTGCCACTCACTTGACAATGGGGTCCGAAAGCTGGAGACCTTCCAGGCTTAGATTCTGCAACTTGGAGCACAGAGACAGAATGCCATGGAGGGTAGACATATCGATGACTGAGTTCGACAGGTCCATGTGCTGTACACGAAAAGGACTGAACACAGAAGAGGCTCTGTAAGGAGGCTTGCAGGGCACATCCGGATCAGATCCCACCCTTCCTCCTTCCCAAATGCACAGCCAATCACAACATGACACTAAATGCAGTTTGAGCATTTGCTATCGTTTTGGTCATAAAACATGTCGCTCGTAGCTAATTCCCATCCTCATTCATTTTAAAATTCAAGAGGATTTTTGCCAAGTCAAGATGTTGCTACCAATATAGTCCAATTAGAAATTAATTAGTGGGGATCATGAGAATGAGCTGGATGTGACGAGGAGGTTATGCCTATGACTCCTGGTGAGGATGAGGGAGTAGGTGGCAGTGGCATTTACTAAAACAGAGGAGATAACAGAAGAGCAAGTTGTAAATTGGGGCTAAGTTCAATGTTAGATATGCTAATATTGAGGTACCTGGAGGAAATATGGAAGTCTCTGGATCACCCAAAGTCTTCAGGTAGCCCAGCAGTAACCCTGTTAGTGTGTCTCTGAAACCTGTGTCATGTTTCAACACAAAGGCCCCATGGCAAAATAGGCAATTAATGTTTCACACTGCACTGATGACCAGTCACAGGCAATAGGAGGCTCTGTTTTTCACCTCAAGATTTAGAAAGAGTTTTTCTGGGGATTTTTCTTTTTTACCTGAAATGTTCAACTAATGGTTGGTCCACAAATGATCGTGGGCAGCAGAAGGCAATCACCCCTCGAGACAGCAACCGCCCAATCACGTCTGGGTGCAGGTTTTTACCTGTGAGGTCTAAGGTCTGCCATAGAGACTCGTCGAACCTGGAAGAGAGGAGGTGCTCCGTTAGGTACGTCGGGGATGCTTGACACCAGAGGCTCCCGATACCATTAGCGACAAGGAAGACACGGCCAATAAACCGACTTGAAGCAAATTTTGAAAAAAACCTTTGTTTCTTTAAGTTGGCTGTAAATTAGCTATGAATATGTCTTTATACATATTTCTAATTTAGATGGTTCAGTGCTGTCATTAGCAATGCAATGATCTGGACTCAGAATACAATTCAATTCAATTTGATAGCTTTAAACGTGTTTGTTGAAATTGCCTAACTGATTATTGACTAGGTGAGTAGGTTCAGAATGGCCCAGATGGTCCCACTTGCCATTTTTAAGCATGAACAGTTTACCACGATTACCCTAAATAACATAAAAATATAACTAAGAGAAGGAAAGTCAGAACTATTTTTTAATGAGTTATAGCTACTAGACATCTACTAGGAAAAAGTCATAGTTCAGCTGTTTTATATTCCCTTTTAAGCTTTAAAAAAATATATCTGTACATACATGCAGAGAAATATATGTATACATATGAACTAATTGGAAAGGAAAAGGGAAAAGTATTGCTTGGATTTTAGATAGTGTTTCTAAAGCAAAAAGGAGGTACCAAAATGGACTGAACACACAATAAAGGAACTTTAATGTTCACAGATTAATTCAACTTAACAGAAAAGGAAACATAAGATCAAGCACATGAGGGAACATTTTAAATGCCTACTAGAATTTTCTTTTTTAATACTGCTTGAAATAAGCAGACCACTGGCAACGGCTTTAAAATAATTCCAGAGAAAGAAATTGTCAATGTGGTATTTGACCTCTACTATTAAGAAGGCAGGACTGCAGTGCCTGGCACACAACAGGTGCTTAATAAATTGTCAGCTATTACTTTTCTGACATCTGAGATGAAGATTAATAGACTCTGCATGAAGAGGACAGCTCGCAGAAAAAGAAAATCAAAATGCGGACGCTTGGGTGAGGATGAGTGACCGTCAGCCGCCACCTGCTCCAGCATTGCAGGTATGCAAACCTCTCGGTGGCTCTTCTGTAAAAACCAACGTGTCCTATTTCCAGCACGTCCCTGAATGGAAGAGAAGGGGCTACTGCTGTCTTACAATGAGATTCCTAGAAATGTGGAGGGAGGAGAGAGATAGATGGCCGCAGGCTGGAAGGGGAGGAGGAGTGAAGATGGAAAAAAAACCAAAACATTCAAATGGATAAACAAAGCCTTTCCCCCTGCTTCTGGCCTGTTACTGCCTTTCTAGCTGACCAAGACTTTCCGCATACAGCTCACTGTCCATACCCGAAAGGTGAGGCCCAAAAAACCAACAGAACACCAACAACTGTTGGCTGCCATGTGCCGAACACCTGCGAGAGTCAGGCACTGCGCTGGTGGCGTCTTCGTATTTCGTCCTCCTAACTGCCCTGTCCTGTAGGTACCATCATCCCCATGTTATCTGCGGGAGATGAGGCTCAGAAGTGTCAAGCACCTCACTCAGGTCACGCGGAGCCTCGGTGGCAGGGGCTGGGTGCACACTCAGTGTGTCGCCACAGCCCGTCCTCACTCCCACTGCACTTGCTGCCCAGCCTGCCTGGCGCGAGGGACCGCTGTGCCTCACGCACCCCTGGAACCCCTACACTCTGCGTGCGGAGTCAGCGCCAAAGAGACATGAGCCACAGCGAATACGAGGAAAACAGGTTTTGAGAAAGGGGCTAAGTTGTCACCTCCTGGCAACCCCTCCCTTCCACTCTGAGATAAGACACTAATTAGTTTTGAGAAAGGGGCTAAGTTGTCACCTCCTGGCTGGCAACCCCGCCCTTCCACTCTGAGATAAGACACTAATTATTAATAAAATCGTGAAGCTACTTAGTTTGCTTTGTGCTACTATATTTTTCTTGGTTTTTAGTTTCCCCAGACCCAAATGAATGAAAAAATAACCCTCCTCTCCCTCACTTCCCCTGTAAACATCACGTGGGGTGAGAAATACTTACGCCAGGTGATACCACCTCTTACAGACGCTGGAGACCTTGAGGAGCTCAGGGAGGCACAGACAGGAAAAGACCCCTAAGAGCAGCTCGTCTGGAAGGGAGTCCCATGAAACACCTTTGCGAGAGAGAGAAAAGTTTTCTCTTACCCTGTCAAGTCTATCAACTCTTCATGTGCATAAAGGATACACAACAGTTAGCTTATGACAGGCATTTAACACAAATTGAATTACTCATCCTGCAATTGTTTTTCTGTTGACTCACCGTCTACGTACCCCAAAGTAAGCACCACGCTTTTCCAGCAAAAGAGAAAAGGGAAAACCAAGAAAACTTTTCCTTCACCTCCCGCCAATCTTCGGCAAGGACTATACGAAGGATGATTCAGAGCAGGTCCCCACCTGTCCTCAGACCTCATATGATGCCTAAGATGCCGTGATGCCTCTGATCATGGAATGCCTCCTTTCGTTCTGAAGTGGTTTCAGTGGAGGATTTATCAAGTAGTGACCTTATTTAAAAGGCAAATGAAGCTTCTTCCTTCTTTCAGGTTTACAGAAAGCACTCAAAAGTCAATTTACCTCAAAGCGTAATGTTAAAAAGGTACTCTCATTTATTAATTCAACAAACACGTACTGAGCACCTACTGTGGTACCCGGGTCAGTTTAGGTTGAGCAATAAACAAGGCAGACAAAATACTCATGGAGTTTATATTCCAGTGGGAGGAAACATAATCACACACACACACACAAATGAGTAAATTAAAATAGACCATACACATAAGAAAATTATTACATCACATAAACTGATTAGTGTTATGCAGAAAAATTAAGCAGGGTAAAAGACAGGATGAGGAGTAGAGGGCGGGTGTTCCAAGTCTGAACAGAACGGCAGGAAAGGCCTCACAGAGACGGCAATCCCTGAGCAGAGGCTTGAACAAAGCCAGGCAGCCAGCCCTGTGAGTTTCTGTGAGCTGTTCCACGTACAGGGAACGGCATGTGTGTTTTGAGGTACAGCAAGGAGTCCAGTGCAGAAAAACGGAGTTAGCGGGTGGAAGGGAATGAGGTCACGCAGTGCTTTCTAAGTCTGGATGAGGTAGGTCTTCAATTTTGACTCTGAATGTGCTTAAGAGCCTCTAGAGAAATAACAGCATCTGGAGCTCAAGTTTCAAAAGGATCACTCAAGCAGCTGTGTTCACAATCAACTAGAGGGAGAAAAAGGTAGGTACGAGAAGAGCAATTTTCTTAGTCTTATAAAAGCAATCTCTACATAGCTATCTGACAAGTATTACATGTTTACATATGAATATGTAGAATGACGCACAAGATCAGGACAATGATCAAGACGGAAACAAGTAGGCACCAAAGAAACATTGAAAGAGTGGTTAGATAAACTCGAACTTGCCTTCCCAGTCTCTAATTCCAACAGATCTTCTACACCAATTCTAGGGCAATCTTCTCCCCACTGTGATGGTTAATTTTATGTGTTAGCTAGGCTGGGTCAAGGGATGTGAAGGTAGCTGGTTAAACACTATTCTGGGTGTGTCTGTGAGGGTGTTTAGGATGAGATTAACATTTCTATCAGGAGAAAGAGGAAAACAGACTGCCTCCCCCAAAGTGGGCGGGTCTCATCCCATCCAGGGGCTGATTAAAACAAAACTCTGATTAAGGGAAAACTGGTTCACTCCCTTCTCTGAGGAGCGGCTGGGTCTCCTCCTGCCTGCAGACCTGGGGCTGGAACTCACACCATCAGCTCTCCTGGTTCTCAGACTTTTGGATTGCAGATTTAGGGCCTTCTCAGTCTCAAAAGTCACTTCCTCAGAGGAGCATTCCCAGCTCATCAACATAGCCCGCCCCCCCGCCCGCCCCCAGGCCAAATCTGCACATCCAGCACCTAGCACAATGCTTGGCACAGAACAGACATTCAAAAAGTCTTTGCTAAATCCATTATACCGTCTACTCTCCCTTCACGCCAACTATGAATGTGCTATATCTGTATTTATGTGAGCTGGTTAAACAGTTAACTACTACAAAATCAGTGCCTAGGTCAGAGCCTAGCAATGAATATTAAAAAGTGCTCACTCAGTTGGTATTTCACAGAGGAATGACTGACAGCCGAGAGAAGAATGCTGGCTTTATTTTATACGAAGGCATCACTCTTGGCCTCTTAGGACACCAGTTTCCTCATTTGGAAAATGGCAAAGGTTGCCTATGGCTCCAATTCAGCAAACATTCTTGGGTGCCTAATTAATGCACTAGTGCTGGGAGCTGGGTGGAACCCAATGGCCTCACTGGGAGATGAACTAATAAACAAAAACATAAGCTAACATTTTAAACTGCCATTTACTGAAAGCCCTAAAAGTCTCAGGCATTTATTAAACCATGCCGACACTAGTCTTTGCAGCGACTCTGTGTACTAAGTAGTATTATCCCACTTTATATTTGAGGCAACTTGTCTCAGTGAGGGTAAAGAACCTCACCAAGGTGATAGCAACCATTAGGTGGCAGAGCCCAAGCGGCAAACGTGGTTCTGTTCTGCATGTTCCAAAGCCCATATCCCAAAGCGAGGGCACAGAGCCACAAGAAGTGAGTGTCTGAAGCCTGGCCAGGTGGCAGAGGGCACTGCAGGTGGGGATACAATATCTGCAAAGGATGGCATGGTACTGTTGGCATTTGGGGAGAAGAGGCTGGAGACAAAAGACCAGGGCACGAAGGAAATGTCCTCTGTCAGAACAGGAGTAGGTTTTGAGGTGGGGGAAGGGACTTCAGAAGAAGCAACTATGACAAAAGGAACAAGGTCACACAACTAGCTGGTGGCAGAGTGGGAATTCAAACCCAGGTCTGACTCCAAACTGTGCCTTCTTTCTACCCCAGGATTCGCCAAGATTCTATGTTCTCCCTGTTTTGAGTAGGTGATGATCTTTAAGTTTGGGAAAGGAGAGAATTAAACCTGACTTGCTATGGAAAAAAAGAAATCAATCAGGGCTGGGAGGGAAGGGTGAAGGGAGAGGGCGCAAAACAAAGATGCCGATAGCTACCAATGTGTCGGCTGCCAGATGGAAGGAGCAGTGGCCAAGAAAATGCACAGCCTCAGCCAGCAGCCAGATACCTGGGGCTCTACTCAGTTGACCACAGGGCGACAGTGACTCTAGGGCCCCTGGGTGGGGGTGCCGCAGCCTGAAACTGGCTGCTGTCCAAGCAGATGGGGCAGAAGTCTGTCTTCACATAGCTGCTCTGGCGGATGGTATCCAAGGCCTGTGATGTGCTTAATCTAATTTTACTTGCCATATTTCTCAAAACATCAACCATCTGTTTCCTGGATTCCTGACGACACTGCTGCCTGGTCTGCTTGCCTAGAGCGGATGAGAAAGTCCAGAACAGGTTTTCCTCCACTTGCCTCTTCTAAACCCCCTGGGGCTGCGCACCAGCCCGCACAGTAAGGGAAATAATTATCCAGCCTAAGGCCTCCAGTCTTCAACTACCTGGAAGCAGTGAAACATACTTCTGAGCCATGAAAGGGAAAAGCGGCCAGACTCGCAAACCTGCTAGTCGTCACCCTCAGCCACCACCATTTCCACTCATTCCTCGGGTGCAAACCCAGCTGTCCACTCCCATCACCTCATCACTGCCTGCACCCCTTAAACTCCTTTGGTAAGAGTGGCTTATGGGAGAGTCTTCCATGCGTTAGATCTTTCCAGGATAGACAGCCCCTCTTACTTAACATATTTATTTCTTGGAACATCACCTACACTCAAATTTAACTTAAAACTGCAAAGTAATCTTAATTATAAACAAAACTTTGACTCTTAAAATTGCTCTTTAAGCATACATAAACAAATTATAGTTGAAGGGTAAGCAAGCCTGCTGCTCACACCTACCGTTTTTTGTGTATTTTTTTAAGGGTGGGGGCTCACTTCATGTTTGCTTTTGCTAGCTTGTTTTAAGTAGTAACAACCCGTGCTTCCTTTCTGTGAAGCTACAAACAGATTCTGCCATCTGAGATGAGTTTTCCTTCCTTTTCCCATAAATCAGAAAGAGAAAGCACTAGACCCTGACAGCTCTTTGTTTCTTGTTTTTCTTTTTTCTTTTTTTTTTTTGCTAGATAGGCAAAACTGAAAAAAGCAAAAAAGAGCAAAACCAAAGCAGGTCCTCAATGACCTCCTCAGCTCCACTCCCCTTGATTTCTGTAAGTCTTGCTCACCCCTAGGGTGTGGGAGGAGCAATGGAAAAACCATGGAAGTTAGGATTTGGAGAATAAAGTTCAGTATATAGGCCCTATGAGAGCAGGGTCTTTGCCTGTTAGGTTCATTGCTTGTAATCCTCATCTCTAGGATGACACTCAATAAATCTTTGCTGAATGAATACATGAATGAATGAATAAAAGCTACAGAGCAAAGAAATATGCCTGGAAGAATCTCAAAAAGGCTCTATCAGAGCTGAGTTTTGGGAGCTGCAGGTAGAGAGATTCATTGATGAGTCATGAAATTAAGTTTGACCAGCACTGCTCTGAAAGAATAGGAAATTTTTTAGTACGGGGAAATATACTTTTGTGAAATTTCTGTTTCAGATATACCCAGGATTATAATGTAAACTGTATTGCTTAATTGGTTAAAAAAATTGGAGGAAATGTGTTTGCCTGAGGGTATTAAATCAGATTCCCAGGTTCAAGGCAAGACTTCTTGGATCAGAAACTCCGGAATTTTGCACTTTGAACAAGTTCCCTTGGGGATATCAGTATACTCTAAACTTTGGAGTCTCCAGTCTGCGAACCAGGGTAGGGTCTGGAATTTCAAGCAGTTTAAGAGCCATGGAAGAGCTGATCCACAAATTAGTTCAATAGCATTTTCATGGCCATCTTCTGTCTGGAAGCGGAAGTGGGGAAGATGGGGGGATCAGGACAGGCATTTAATGACCACGGATAAAATGCAGTTGTCCTCTTTCTGCCCACTAATGACCTCACTATTGGCCGTTTCTTCCCAGCTCCTTCCACACACTCATCTCAAAGGCCAATCAGACCTGTTCTGGTATGGGTTGGTCACATAGTTTTTATCTTCCAAAATAAATAAATAAAGTCGATTTCTTTGCCAGATGTGTGCCTGGCTTGGGGCCTGCAGGGAAAGACTGCTGGGTGAAGATGCAAGAAAAACTCAGCTCAGGGCTACTGTCATCAGATCTCTATGTAAAGCAGGTGTGGCCTGTTCTACCCTAATCCTGGCAGAGCTGTTAGCCACCTGTCTGAACAACTGCACACAAAACTCTCTGGAATGATGATCCAGTACACTGTGGGGGCCCTGGCTCCCACAGGCCCACTAGGAATCCTCTACAACAGCAGTCCCTCATCCTGCATCACTGAATCCACCTCTCCCCCGCTGCCCCCCACCAACTAACCAGTCTACATCGTGTGTAATTCCACACATATGATGTACACTATCAGCTTCCCTCCCTACCTCTCTCTCAGGTAATAACCAACATAAAAACAAAGCTCACTACTTCTCACACATCTCTTTTCACTTCACACATATGTATTTGAAGTTAATTTCAACAATCTGGTCTCTGATTGGACCACTCCCAGATCCTTCTTTCTTTTCTCAGAGCCTCTGCTTTTGATGAGAAGGAGGATGATTGTCCACATCCAGTGGTGGTTTTACCTTAGGAAGCCTTCTGTACCTGGGAAGCTTCAGGTCACTTTGGCACAAGTGGTTCCCTCCCTCTGGCCTCCTATAGCACTCACTACCTGAACTACACATCATCTGCTAGCTGCCATCTTTTGCTATGAGCTTCTCTTATTGTGTATTGTTTTTTCTCAACTTGACTTGTAATTGCCCAGAAGACAGCAACCATCCCTTAATCTTGACTTGTTTCCACACTGCTTTGCTGTAAAAATGTCTTTTTTTATTTACATCTGTGTACGTGAATGTGGAAGGACATACAGCAGTTACACTCCATGTTAAAAGCTATCAGTGCTGGACAAATTAATAAATATCTATTAATTTAACCACATTTGGCTGGTTGAGCATCAAATTGCTAGTGCTGCATTCCGGATACAAAGTAAAGCAGTGATATTAAATTCTGAAGAAAAAATAATCTACATTAACAGGGTCAGACTAACACTATTAATGCAAAAAGTATAAGTGAAGTAGCCTTCCAAATGGATGTGAGAAATTTTGTTGACCCAAATAACTGGGTTTACTTACTGCTATGCTCAGGCAGCAGCTAAGGACCTTATATGCAGTCTTTCATTTAATCGTCACAGCAAACTATGAAGTGGGTATTATTTCTCCATTTCACAAAGAAACTAAGGCACGAGAACTCAAATAACTTCCCAAGGCTGGTAAACAGACTAGGGATTCAAACTCAGATTTGTTTGATTTTACTATAATCTTTTACTATCTTTTTAATTAATCCAACTCCTGATGTAGATTTCCAGACCATAAGGGTTCTCTTTCCTAAATAAAGGATCAAAAACCAAAAAAAAAAAAAAAGATTTTTTTTTTTTAAAGCAAAGCAAGCAAGCAACCAACCAATCAACCCTTCCGCAAAGAAAGCTAGATGGGAGAATTTAGGCATATACTTATTTATCTTAGCTCTGCAAGACTTCATCTTTATTTCTTTAATCTGTCTCCTCGTCTCCAACATTACTCACCCGATTCCAATTTAGACTCTGATTATTCTTTAACCATTTCAACAGCCTCCTAATTCTGTTGGTTCCAGTGCCAGAATCTATCTACTATCAGTGTGAGAATCTATTTTGAATCTGGTCACTACCATATCTCTTAACAAGTCTCTAAGCTTCTACCATCAACCCCCTATGGTTTAGTCTCCACACATCAGTGTGTCATTTTAAAAGGTCATATCACAACTCTGCTCAGTATCACCTCTAGCTGATCTCCCACTCTCCCCTTTGCTCATTCCATTCTTGGAATATGTCTTTCTTGTTGTCGCTTGAATAAATATGATATGCTTCGCCCCAGGGTCTTCGCACTGGCTGTTCCCTATCTATGCTCTCTTCTCCAAGAAATTTGCAAGCACATTCCTTTGCCTCTTTTATTGCCTTTGCTTAAAGCTCACTTTCCAAGTGAGGCTTTCCCTTAATACCCTGTTTAAAATTGCAATCCATCTTCCGACCCGAGTATTTCCAATCCCTCTTGGCTTGTTCAATT